CTGGAGATAGTACATCTGGTGGAGTTTTAAACTACAAGTTTTTATGTTTCTTTCTATTAGCATGCCTAATATTTTCTTTGCACAGCCTAAATCCTTCATTTCAAATTCAGCGTGTAATTTTCCCTTCAACACATCAATCTGAGCTTTAGACTTACTGCTTAAAAGCATGTCATCAACATACAGTAACATATATACAGGATTTGTATCCACATGTGCAAAGTAAAAACAGTTATCATGCTCACTTCTAGTGAAGCCTATTCCTACTATGAATGAGTCAAACCTCTTGTACCACTGCCTAGGTGATTGTTTGAGTCCATACAATGATTTATGCAGCAAACATACATGATTTGGAAACTGTTTATCCTTAAACCCCGTGGGCTGACTCATATATATCTGTTCATCTAATTCCCCATGCAGAAATGTAGTTTTTACATCTAATTGCTCTAACTCTAAATCATGATGTGCTACTAAGGATAACATCAATCTTATAGTTTTAAATTTAACAACAGGGGAAAAAATCTCAGTGAAGTCTATACTTGCCCGCTGGGTGTACCTTTGGCCACTAATCTGGCCTTATACCTTGGTGGATCAGTATTGTTTATGCCCTCCTTTAGCTTGTATAACCACTTGCATTCCACTGGTTTTAAGTCTTTGGGTTTTGGAACCAAAGTCCAAGTCTTGTTTTGCCTTAGGGAGTCCATTTCCTCATTCATGGCAGTGAGCCATTTCTTACTATCCTTTGATTGTATGACTTCTTCATAAGACTCAGGCTTTGTCCTCTGTATCTCTACACCAGCAAGTAGTGCTGTGTAGATAAGTTTAGCATAGTTGAACCTTGGAGGTGGTCTTATTTCCCTCCTTGTTCTGTCTCTAGCAAGTTGGTAATGAGCCAGGTCCTCCTGTTGGGCATAATCATTGGTTTCTTCATTCTCATTTTCACCATCAGGATCAGTATCAATGGTATGTTGTAGAGGTTTAGCTTCTGGTCCATCAGTGTTGTTTTCAGGTTCTTGTTGGTTGGTTAACTCCGCCTCAAACTGAGTACTTTCAGTTCGCTGTGGATTTTCCACTTGATGGCTTGAGGTACCTGCATTAATGTTAGTAACCCTGCAAGGAAACACACATTCGTTAAATATCACATCTCTACTGATAATGACCTTAACTCCTGGACCCTCTCTCTCCCACAGCCTATATCCCTTTGTCCCTTCTTGATATCCTAAGAACACACATCTTAGGGACCTTGGTTCTAATTTCCCATCTTTGGTATGTGCATAGGTAGCACATCCAAAAACTCTTAAATGATTTATGGATGGTTTTCTTCCTGACTATCTTTCTTCAGGACAAATGTAACCAGTTGCGCTAGATGGAGTCCTATTTACTAAATAGGCAGCAGTGGTTAAGGCCTCCCCCCAAAAAGACTTAGGTAGCCCAGCTGTGAAAAGGAGGCACCTCACTTTCTCTAATAGTGTCCTATTCATCCTCTCAGCAACTCCATTTTGCTGAGGGGTTCCCCTCACTGTCTTATGTCTCTCAATTCCCTAGTCACTACAGTAAGTGTCAAACTTAGTGCTACAGAACTCCAATCCATTGTCAGTTCTAAGTGTTTTCACTTTTTTCTCTAGTTGGTTTTCTACTAAGGTCTTTCAGCCCTTAAACTTAATTAGAGCCTCATCCTTGGATCTAAGTAGGTAAACTCACACCTTCCTACTGAAGTCATCCACTATAGCTAGAAAATAACTATTCCCCCTTTATGTTTTGACTCTTTCAGGACCCCAAAGATCAGTATGAAGGTAATCCAAACAACCCACAGATAGGTGAGTTCCTTTTGGGAAGCTCAGCTTGTGCTGTTTGCCCATGACACAAGTTTCACAAAAATCTAGGTTTGACACATTGTCATTACCAAAATACCCCTACTGCTTGAGATAGCTCATACCAGTTTGGCCTATATGGCCCATCCACAGGTGCCACTTTTCTGCAGTTGAAATGTTAGTAGATATAAAAGCAGAGTTAACATTCATTTGATGATATTGCCCACACAATATGTACAACCCATTCCTTTTAACACCTTCAAACAACATTTGATCATTTTTGTATACAGTAATGCACCCATTTTTAGCCCTGTAGCTACAGCCAGCTTCATTTAATGTGCCTAAAGAGATCAGGTTACGTTTAAGCTCTGGTATGTACCTTGCTCTGGTTAACATAATGAGTTTGCCACCTTTAAGTCTAATGGTGATATTACCCACACCTTGGACCCTACATGAGTGATTACTGCCCATAAACACTGTTTTTTTTTTTTTTTTTTTGTTCACCATTTGTTAGATTTTGGAACCAGGTTTTATTAGGACTCATATGAAAAGAACACCCTGAGTCTAGTACCTATTCATTAGCCATTTCAGAACTAGACATAGTAAGGGCTTCTATAACTTCAATGCTATTACTAGAGGATGCTAAGTTGCTCTCAGTACTATTCTGTTTTTGCTTTCTAATCCATTCATAGCAATTCTTTTTTATGTGACCAGGTTTGTTACAATGGAAGCACTTCCTAGTGTTTGATTTAGATTTATTATTGTTATAGGCTTTCCCTTTCTTCTTATCCTTTGGCCCTAAGTTTTGTTGGACAACCTTTCCAGTATCTTTACTAAAGTGACCAGTTTCTTGTTTTCCTTTTATAAAAAGATTACTCCCATTTCTTTTTTGTATCTTTAACTCAAGTTCTCTAGATTTTAGGCCAGCTATTATAAGATCAACACTAGGGACTGTTCCAGTATACTGCAATGCATTTTTCACTACTAAGTATTCATCAGGTAACAAATTTAATAAAATCATTGCAAGACTCGAATTCCCTAATTCCTAATCAGTACCTTTTAGCACTAGTATCATTTTAAGAAATTCATCTAGGTTTTCTTCTAATGACTTAGAGACATCCCTTCTGTAAGAAAACAAAGCACCTTTCAAGAATGCTAAATTAGGAGCAGACCTTAACGCATACATAGTTTCGAGTTTACCCCAGAGCTCGAGCGGTGTGTCCAGGCCATCCACCTTTCGCAGTACATTATTTGATAAATTCATCATTATCAGATTGTATGCTTCTTCGTCTATCTCCACTTTCTTTTTCACCTTTTCCATGGACCACTTGGTTTCATCCTTTTCCAGTGCAATTCCCACCTTATTGTGGGATAACAGGGCCTTCATTTTCTTTTTCCATGTATTAAAATCGATCTTCCCATCGTATTGGGAGATCTCTATATGAGTAGTGCTCATTGAACTGTAATGACAGGGAAAGACAGTCTAAGGAGTATGTGGCATTGTTATACCAGAGGTTGCCAAGTACTACCAGGCAATTTTTAAGGCGGTTACTGGTTTTCCAGCCGAGATACCCTTAAACAGATTCAGGACGATTCGAAACCCTAATTCGAAAGAAAACCCCCAAATCCTAACAAAACCCTAATTTCGATTTTGCCCGATTTTCATTGATCCCTTGTGTTTGTGACCTAATCTCACAAATTAATCCCAAGACTCGACAAGATTTGAAGTCCTAATGATCTAGGAATCTTTAAATCGAAAAACCCCAAAAACTAACAAACCCTAATTTTCGAGTTCGTCAAGAGTTAAACGATTTCTAAACCTAGATACACCTTAGAACCTTTTGGCTCTGATACCATGGTTGTAAATCAATACTAATTACTCAAACCACCAAATCAATCTCAAATCAAAACAAACGCAAGGACAAGAAATCACACAACACACAATCTACCGTGGTTCGCTTGTTCAATATAGAACAAGTTACATCCACGTTGAGCTCCAGAATATGGAGCTCGTTGCACTAGGATTAAACACTTCAAAGATTATAGATTACAGACAAATCTCCTTCTCCGTCAACAACACATTCACACACTCATTCACTTCTCTTTATCCCGCAAATCTAAACCACTAGAGTACACTATACCCTTTAAGGAACACCCTGCCCTCAAAATAAGCCTCTAGAATGATTCACACAGAGAAGAACCAGAATGAATATCAAACCCTAACCCAGGTTACAAAACGTATTTACAAAGAACAAAAAGAGAGAAAACCTTAATAAACGAACAGTTGCCAAATGCGTGGAAGTGTTCCCTTTTATATTGTTGACTTGTGATTGAACTGAAGTCATCGGATTCTCTTTAATTTGATGGTTGTTATTGACTTGGACTAATAGGCAAAAACGACAGCGTTTTTACTTGACTTAAACGATGTCGCAGGCTTCACTTATTTAACAATATAATACTATAATCTGATATAAAATCTTGTTAAAACACTTTGATAATTTTATTTTTTTTATATTTAATTTTCACTTTACGTTCTTTATTATATTTTATGTCTGCTCAACTTAAAATTATTTTTTGAAATCTTAAAAGATACTTGAAGAAAATAAATTTGGAAAATTCATATATGAAATTTCAAATATAAACAATTATTTCTAAAATAATTGTAATATATAAAAATAATATAAAATTGTTCTTGAGCTTAAATTTTGAAGGGTTGTAATCTTTAAAAGTCTTACTATATCACAATGCGAATAAAAAATGAAACATCATACGAGTCATATATAAACGATGAAATTACAATTAATAAAAATATCTAATATTAAGTTTAAGTCTACTCCCAATCTCCCCCAACTTATTTTTAATTGAGTTTCTCTATATCTATCCTTATCCAAGATAAAGACTTGGAAAGTAAAAGTAGATTACAAAGAAAATTACCTGCTCTGAGCATGATGCACACGTTGTGATAAGTCTTTAATTTTTTCAAAATTATTTTATAGGTAACAATCTATAATTTTAAGGACAAGTATGCAAAGCCAAATCGACTTTGAAAACTTACGTTTCACTTTACAGTCATATGACAGGAGAGGTATCTGAAAATTTCGCAAAATCTAAATGGAAGTTGTCAAATATGTGAGGGGAGTATCTGGGTTTTTCGAAGTGGATGATATGAGGATGAACTTCAACCCAAAGGGATTCAGAATTCTTATCAGTAATATTATAGTATAAACACCATTATTATTACATATAACTATTTCACATACATGGATAATGCTCTTACCTTGATTACATGACATTTGGTTAATACATGTAAACCATATCTTCCATTATTAGTGTTGAATCTGTGGGTCTGATTACCGTTTCTATTCAACTTACTAATTGTGATGTTACTTGTCTGTGTACGATTGAAATGGGTTCAATTATTATTGATAGGACTCTTTTCTTAGCTCTAACATCTGGAGCTCCATGCCCATCTCCATTTTGGTACGTGCATTGGGCTATCCGAGCAAGATTAATAGCTGTTTCTACAAAAGCTTCTGCAAATGGATGCTTATCACTCAGATCCTTATTCATTTGTTTCTAGGTTTTCTCAATGAGCTTCCTTATATCTTCACGAGCAACTTCCTCCGGTAAACCTGTTTCTTGCATATAGCATAATATTGAACTTGCGGTTTCACCTCTCTCTATCTCAGCCTGTGTAACGAAACGCATATAAGCATCCTGTTATTAACTAAAACGGATGATGAGATGAGATGAGGTTCTCACTGTGAAAATGAAAATCATACCTTTGAAGTACTTAAATCATTGCAAAGTCGAAAAATAACGGATGGCCAGCGCAACAGATTATGATACTTTTCTAAAGAGTTAAGTGCTTCGTCGGTGATGCCTTGATTCAGTAAAAAGTAGGAATGAACCAGAATTAGTGTCCCCGATACTGATCGCCACGCATTGTCAAGATATTCCTCAAATGTTGGCGTGTGTTTGTTGTAACTCCATTTTGCTTCTTCTAAAAATGCTTTACACATGTCACCCCACTGAATCAACACAAAAATTACACTAAGGCAGGTTAGGATGGAGAAATTAATGATACTGATTCTATCAATCCAAAAGGCTAAATTTTTAAACACTCGAAGTATATGCAGTAGCACACCGCTTTCGCTAGGGACGGAATAATGTTCACTCCTTGTTTTTTTAGAGTGTCATAACCCATCTCATTAACACTGTTGTAGAGTGCCAGGAAGCATAATTTCATGTAGTCTGGAAGCTGATTCACACAATCGATATCCCATCTAAAATCACCATTGAGCACTCGAAATTAAGTATCAAGTATACGGAGAAAATGACCTAAACACATACATAATTGTAAATACTTATGTACGATACAAACCTTTCAATCGCATCTGTAAAAACCTCCAATTCATCCAGAGTCCCATATACGTCATAGACATCATCAAGGATTGTAATAAATAAGGTCACTTTCGTCAGTCCCTTACGGCAATTACTAAATTGTGGATCTGGGAACATTCCAACCGTCCAAAAGAAGCATTCCATCAGCCTGTCCCTAGCAAATGACAACTTGTTTGCTAGATCAATTTCTTTCCACCACCTAATTAACAAAAGGTGAAACCATATTGTATATTAATTAATCAGATGGAGCATGAGAGATTCCATGTTTGATTCGTAACATATGAAGTTAGTGATAGTTTTACCTTGACATATCTTTAAGATCTGTTTTGTATATCGCTTGCACCCGGTTAAAGTCCAGTTGGGCAAACTCAAGTAGCGAGTAATTTGCGTTAATTTTTTTACTGTAGATTTCAATATACCACCGAGCTTCCAGCCTTTGCGTTCTATGATGCAACGGAAGCTCTAAAGCATGAGTAACAAGATCTGATATGGTTGAGTCTGTGTCTCTCTTTAATTGAGTGAGATGTGTTCTTGAGAAAGTTCTGGCCTCATCTAAGAGTTTTTCTCCTTCAAAGGCAAGATATGAAGCTTCGTACAAACTTAGCAATCCTTTAACATCCTTGTCAAAGTATTCCATGTAATGGCCTTCTTTGTCAACGAAAATCTTGAAAATATCTGTAAATCATGGAACTACTTTTTATTAACTAATAATGACATTATTGTATTAATTATTCATATGAAAGCATGAATTAAAAGATGATTTCATTCTTCTATCAATATCTTTTGATATGTGTTTTTTTGTTTTTTCTTTGGTTGAAGTTTATGAATCAAAATTAAAGTTGTTGAAACTTGTATTTGTGTGAATGAGATTTTAAGATAAACTTTTTTTTTTTTTTTAAAATGTCTCTCTGACGAGTAACTTTTTTTTATTTTATTATTTTTTTTTTTAGAAAGGCCTTTAAAAGTTATCCATTGTCATTGCGTCCACCACATACAAATATTAGAAATTTAACTTGCAAGGAACTGAATATACCTTGAGAGATGTGATAACCATGTTGTCTAAGGAGCCTGAATCTTAAAGCAGCATAATGGAGTTTGTTTTCTTCTTGGGCATCATCTTCATATTCTTCCCAGCACAAATTAATTCTATCAAGAGCCCTCTTTATGTCCTTCTGGAAACGGTATCCCAAACCTAGCCGCTGAATGTCATCAATCAGCTCAAGAACGCTCAACAATTCTGCATTTTCATTGTTCATCATAGACCTCACCTCCTCCTCCAGCTTCTTTGCCCTGTTCTCGCATTCTTCGTCCTACAATAAAATATGCAGAGAATGAGATAGATATCTAAAGATTACAAGAGGAAATGCTATTACCGCTTGTTTAGTGATTCAAAAAATTGGTCGTTTCATGGTGCAATATGCAGTCTTTACATGCATACGGTGCTATGGTCTCTTGTTAGAATTCTTAGCTTTGAGCAAAGAAAACACTGGATTATTTTTTGATTTACAAACAGATAAAAATAAAAAATTGATTGCATTAGTCACAATTAAAAAAAAAAAGAATATAGTAGGATAAATGAGTAGTTAAAGATGAAGCAATGGCCCTTGATTAATCACCAACTTATCAATACTTAGCGCCTGGAGAAAATTGTAATTCCAAATGGTTGACTGGTAATTTGCAGATCGTCGTGGATGTGGAGCAGTGGAAGTTTGTATAGTCGCTGTCACTGAACATCTAACTTGTGGAATTATTAAAACGCCATCATGCGCTGTTTGTAGATGGTATCTATGTCGACCTCTGTAAAGACTCTGAACCTGGGGCTGTGAATGAGGCATAGGCAAGCCAGAGAGATGGAGTGCCATAGCAGTTGTTGATAATGTTTGTAGTTCAAATGATCAAGTTAGAGTTAGTCTGGAATAGTGTATGTTACTAATTCAGAGGTGTTATGGCGTTTTGATTAATGCCTGAGAGTGTCCAACGAGATTCACGTGCGTGAATTACGTACTGACAATATGCGTGGGGTCAGCATTTTACACAATGACAAGGTGATGGTTAGTAAACCGCAAAATATTTACCTCTGTTTCTTTATAAAAAAGTCGCTTTGAGGTCATTAATTTTTTTCAAAATAAACGACGTCTCTTCTTTTAATGTTTTCTTATCCACATCTTCATTCTCCATCCTGCCTGGCTGCCTCTCATCTTCTCTCTATACCTTTTTCTGTACCCGACCCCACACTCCTCTCCCTCTCTCTATCTATCTCTTTCCCTTGTCTCCTCGCTTTCACAATTTCTCTCTTTTTTTAATATTTCACACATATATTACAATGGAGAAAACAAAATTTTCCCACCTATAATATGAGGAAAAACATCAATTCTCTAAATGAAAAATTGTGTAAAAACTTAAAAAGATAATTATATTGAAATGGAGGGAGTATTATTCTTGGAATCATTTCCATTTTCCAACCACACGAAAGACATATAATGATTTACTAATTATAATAATTTCTTTATCATCACCTTTCATGGAACACTGTTTATAAACTCATTTTGATAGAATTTTAAGTAATAAAATTTCAGAAATATGTGTAATCTCAAACTATTTATGTAATTTAAGTTGTTAATGCTGATTAAAATTTCTATTAAAAAAAAAAAAATTTAGTTCACTCTATATAACTGAAACGAAAAGATGAAAATGAGATGATACATAATTTCTAATGACAAAAAGTTTGAGATATTATTTGAGATGATTGAAAAACATAATGTAAAATAAAAATTATAAAATATATTTTGAAAAGTTTGAATTCAAACTTGTAATGGAGAGCGTCTAAAGATATTTAAACTAAGTGTAAACTGTAAAAGATGAAATGAGTTGTTGAAACTTGAAAGTGAGTGAGTTGCTGTCATTAGCACGTGTTGGAGATCTAAATGTTATTTAAGTCAAACCACTTCAACAACATTGTATTAGTATTACTGAAAGTCTGAAAAGAAGCTTCGAGCCTTCGATGACGTTACTTTAAAAAAAAAAAAAAAAAAAAAACAATAAATCGCGGCCCAAATATGAATAACACTGTACTAATTAAAATAAGAAAACTATATATGAAATTAAGAGAAAACGTCTTTTCAAGGATTTATGTGTGTTTGTTTTAGTAGTTTGAACAGCAATTTTTTTTTTAAATTGAGGTAAATTATTATTACGAAGATAAAATTTAAATAAAAAAATGTATTTAGTTAAACACTTTTAATAGTAAAAGTTTTAAAATTAATAAAAACAATTTTACCCAACCTACTAAATAACGAAGCTAGCAACCAACGTTAGAGGATGATTTAAAGTCGTTGAAATGGCGTACAACCAATTGGTTGAGAGTGTTTAATTAAATTAACAAACTTATAGGATTAAAAAAATTTAAATATTTTAATTTAAATAGAATATGATTGGATTTTGAAAATAGTAAAACAAACACATTTGTTATTTCATTCATTAAAGTACTAACATCAATCTATAATTTTTCTTTTTCTTTAAAAAAAAATACATAATACTTGAATTCGATCTAAAATCTTGTTAATTTGATACTTTATATATATATATATATATATTGAAATCTTAAAAGATACTAGAAGAAAATAAATTAGAAAAATTAATGTATGAAATTTAAAATATCAAATAGGTATAACCGTATAATATTAATCATACTTACAGCTTGAGCACTGGTCAATGACTGCAAGGTGTCATAATTCCAAGTGGTTGGTTGATAATTGGCTGACCGTCGGTTTACTGTTAATTGGGAATTTTGAGTAGCAACTGAACAACAAACCTTGAGACTGCCATGACGATCTCTGTGACTGTGTGGTGGATAAAATGTACAAGGTTTGTGAAACAAAAAGCAAGGATGCTGCAAGCACAAAAGCTCAGAAACCATTGTTTATGCACTAATACTAATGCAAGTATTTAACTTCGGTCAAATTAATGGATACTGCGTGTGTTTGCCAAGGCACGTAAATATATAGAGGGTGAAATGTTACTAGAACCTACACCTCTCAAAATCTGGGCTTCAAAATTTTGCGTGCTCCTAATTCACTGTAATTTCAATTCAACGGATAAAAAAATCTAGGTATGTGGACGAGGTTATGTGTAGAGAGGAGCCAAAATTGTGTTGAGAATCTAATTAATCATCCAAGTACGAAAGATTGATGGCCACAGAAAGTTCCTGAAGATAAGAGCAATTGAACACTCTCACTTAGTCACACCATACTTACGTTTCGTTCTGCGTGTCTGTACTTTGTATTCACGATTGATGCGTCTCCATATTTTATGGTCGATTTGAGTGGTTTAATTTTTTTTTTTCAATAATATCACATCCATAACAATTTATGTCCATAACAATTTATGTCATACTTAAATATTCCCTTTTTTGTGTCTCTGTGTGTGTGTGTGTGTGTGTGTGTGTGTGTGTGTGTGTGTGTGTTGGATTTATTTAACAATCTAGAAACGTTGAACCTTGTTTACAATAAAATTATTTTCAAAATAAAAAAAATAGTATACATTACTTTCAATGGCATATACTGGGCGGTGAGCACTTTCATACCCAGTCCATACCTACCAAAAAATTTGATTTTAATTATATTTAGAAACTATATATAGCAAATAACAATATTGAATTCACCTATAAACTCATAATAAGATATTCATAATGTTAATAGAACTTGTTCATGACGTATGAGATAGCTCAATATAAATCAATCGTTATTGAAGAGTATAAAGTATCTTATCAGAGATTTATAATTTAAAAAAGAAAATTCCCTGCCCCTGGATCTGGGTAATGTAAATGTAGTTCATACTTCATAGAGCTGCCAAACGCCACAAAAAATGACCAGTAGAGCGAGAAGAGATACCACACACACAAACATTACTAGCTTCTAGGTTCTATACTTTCGATTCACGCAGTGACAAAATATCTCTTACTCTGCCATTTACACATTGCCACATGGCCACAATAACAAATTATTGAACACAAATTCCAAAAATTAATTTCTAACAAAATTAGCTTTCGAAACGAATCATACAAAAGATTGAAGTTCACATATTAAATATCAAAAAAAAATCCTTCAAAAGTTAGCAAACAAAATTTTCAGCATAACCAGAGAAAGCAAATGAAAAACTTTCAAGAGCAAAAAATAAAATGACGAGGAATACAAAGCAGTAACATATTCTAAGCACTCTTGTCAGCCTTTGCAGCAGTAGCTGCTGCTTGTCCTCTAAGACGACCAGTCCTCCTGGCAGCAATGAGACCAACCTTTTGGCCAGGAGGAGCATCTCGGCGAACGGTACTAGCATGCCCAATGTGTTGGTGGTTACCACCACCATGGGGATGCTCAACAGGGTTCATGGCAACACCACGGACCTTGGGCCAGCAGTTCCTTTTCACTCTGAACTTATGATATGCATTTCCTGCCTTCAACAATGGCTTCTCAGTTCTGCCTCCACCTGCAACCTGGCCAACCATAGCACGGCACCCACTTGGCACAATTTTCTTGGCACCAGATGGAAGCTTAATCCTTCATAAATACAAATTTATAAACAACAGTTAACAGCCATTATAAAGTAGGAACAAGATCAGAACGAAGAGCAAGAGAGCAGGGAGATAAAACATGCAGAGATAAAGAATCGGCTGAAGAAGAAAAATTCAACAGCAACACACAAAATTTAACAAATTCTCAACAGAAAGATGACACCTAACAAAGTGATACAAAACCTCAACAGAAAGATGATATCTAGCAGAAATATTAAGTAATGAAGATACTGGCATAAGCTGACCAAAGCCATTATATTAAAGAACAGATTAAAACAAGCATACTTATGCATGCCTGCAAGAGTCCACCAAAATGCTAGGACAAGTCATATAAGTCACTTATGAGGAATCACACGGTGATATCTGCCAGATGAACATGTAATTTATCAAGGAAGTTAGAACCAAGTATAGGGCAAGAGTAAACTGAAACCACCCAAAAGAAAAGGTGCAAGACAAGAATTTCACCACATTGGCCTAAATGGAAGTTATAAGAAAATTAAATTTAATATCAATTGATGAAGCTTTGGTTTAACAGATAGAGGAGTCATTATTCATAGGAACAGCATCTTCTTACATCCATCTTAAGACACAAATGATGAAACAATTAATGGCTCAGGTAGGAATAACCCAACTGCACTAAACAAAGAAAATACAAGGACCATACTTTAACAAATTAATTTTATGTGAAAAAGAACTTCATAGCTCTAAAGAAGTAACTATACTACATGTATGATGTACCACATTGGCCTTCACTCAATCCTTCTTAATTGTCGCTTTCAAAATCACAACAGAAATCCTAAATAGATTATGGAAGAACAAATCAAACAAAACAAAACTTCAAAATACCTGGAGGTTCCATTATCAGGATTATGACTGATTACAACAGCATAATCTCCCGAAGATCTCGCGAACACGCCGCGATCACCAACGTGATGCTCCACATTACACACAACCGCACCTTCAGGAATCGAACGCAAGGGCAAAACGTTTCCGACCATCAGATTTGCCTTCTTTCCGCAGTACACGAACTGCCCGGTGTACATCCCTTCAGCCGCCACGAACAGCTCCTTCTGGTGCTGGTATCGAAAAGGGTGTCGAAATGTTACGCGAGCTAAAGGTGCGCCCCGACCCGGATCGTGGATAATCTCTGTTACCACCCCCTTCAAATACCCGTTCCTTTCACCGAAATCAAGCGAACGGAACCGGGCCGGACCCTTACGGTGGTGGGTGTGGGACTTGAAGACAGAGCCAGCACCCTTTCTCTGAGCTCGGATGACTCGACCCATTGAGTCGAATCGGTGACTCGATGGTTTTAGGGTGTTGGGGGCTTTGAAAGGGGCAGCAGCGGCTGGAAGGGTGAACGGAGGGAGGGTTAGGGCCTATGTATGTGCAGGGTTTATGGTTTTAGGGCTACTTTACAGTATTGCCCTTCATTGTATTAGATAATTTAGATTTAGGGTATTGAGATTAATCAAACTTAATTAATGAGATTCAGATAATCATTTCGATCTAGTTTCCAAATAATATTTTAGGACGGAATTGAAATTTGTTTTGTGATACTGGTCTTAAGGACATTTAACAATAGGAAAATAATACAATTATCGATGGTAGTGTACCGAATTTATGCACTGAATGACGTGACAAAATCTTGACTGTTGATTAATTTTAACTTAATATTAATCAACGGTCAAGATTTTATCACATTATTCGGTGCACAAATTCGATACACTATCGTCGGTGGCTATAACATTACTCTTAACAATATCTTTATATCATTTCATTCACAATTTCTCGTAGTATAACATATATTGTCATTGAATTAATTCCACCATTCTATGTTTTCATAGACTTTTTTATATCTTATTTAGGCAACATTATTGTATTTCCATTACTATATAATAGTTAGTGACATCCCTTTACCAAAATATTTGGCAATGGAAAATGAAGGGCATTTGAAAATTGAAATTGCATTTGCGTCCATAACTTAATCAGATTCTTTCTTCAAGATGGTGGGTAATCCAAACTGACAGTGAAATCAAGGAGACTACGTAATGCTAAAAATATTGACGATGAAAAAGAGAGCACCAACTGCCACAATTCAATTAATGTTTACTCCCTTTCTGACCTTCCGTTTAAATGTATTTAACCAAAGGTTTCTAGAACGATATGATAATCTGGCCTGGAAACTAGCTCCCTTTGGAGTGGTAAATCGATTCGACGACCTACTTTCCATATTGAGAAGGCCTTTTCTAATTTATAACTGGATGAAATCTAAAATAGAACCTATCCCTCATTCTAATGCTTTATAGAGGCTTTTCTTTCAAAGCTACTGAAAAAAAAGAAATGCTTGCAAACTTCCAAGCAACCCCGCCCTATAGAATGAATAAGGGTCAAGAACTATCCTCTGCTGGAGATCCTTTACTCAAAACCTGGAAAGCCTTGCCACGAGCTGGTCTCGAACAAGCGCTTCCAGATGCAAAAAGCATTCTATTTTGATTCTGGAACGGGGATCGGAAGCTCCTTGTTACTTCTTACCAGGGATATTTGGAAAGGTCTACTTCTTTGGTTCACTAGTTGATTCTATGGATTTCTGCTTCACTATTGAATCTTTATCATGTTTGAATCATTACTGTATTAGACTGGTCACCTCGTTTTTACTTTTATTTGACTGTTTCAAGTATCAATAATGCTACAGACACCGATATTTTTACGTTGAAATCTTATACCGATCTACGTATCCTGTGATTCACACCAACAAACCAGACACGTTTCATGTTATTAAATTTTTTTCTAGTGAACAGTCGTTCATCAACTATGGACAGAAGTCCCTATTTAAAGGACGTCCGTCCATTATTAATGGTTTTAAAAAATTAAAAAAAATTGAGGACTTCTGTTCATCAGTTATGGACGGCCGTCCCTGAATTTTGGATAGACGTCCGCAAATAAAGGATGCCCGTCCATAATATAAATATCGGCCGTTCATTTTAAGTAGACGATCGTCCATATTATATGGACGATCGTCCACCTATAATGGATATCCGTTCATAATTTAAACTAAAAAAATTAAAAATAAAAATTATGGACTCCCATCTATCTTATGGACGGCGTCCTACTGAATGAATAGGTGTCTTTATTAGATGAACGTCCATGGTTTAAATAAAAAAAAAAGTATTAGGCGCGTGTCCATTTCCCTATTTAATAGCACCTGCTTTTTACTATATTTTCATGGCACCTGCTTCTTGACTTTTTCTTTCCATGGAATTATTCCCAAACCTGTAAAGAGTCACTCTTTCAACAACTAAAGTTGCTCTGACATTTTCAATAAACAACACTCAAATTCAGGCCTGCTTTTTCAGCTTACACAACTTTGATCGGTGCTTTTCTGCAGTTCATGAATCTGATCTCGTGCTTGCAGACGTTTTGCAAATAAAAATTCTTAGTATGGACGGGCGTCCAAGTCAAAGAAGTTGAGGGAAGCTTCTTTGTCAAAGAAGTTGAGGGAAGCTTCTTTAAGCATATAATGTCCGTCCATTATTTTTCTTTTAAAATTTTTTAGACACGCATCTATTCTTTGTGGACTGCTATCCAATCTTTTTTTATTTTTTATAAGCATTGTTAATGGCCGGACGTTCGTTATGAACACTCGTCCATTAATTTTGTTAAATAAAATTTTATTATTAAAATATTGGATAGACGTCCGTCCATTTTTTGGGACAACCGTCTATAATTAATTTTGTTTATATTTTTTATTCTATTTTACTGATGGACGGGAACCCTTTAAATAGGGACGTCCGTTCATAATAAATGGACCCCCGTCCATATAATATGGACGAGAGTCCATGTAAGTAAACGGCCGTCTATATTCGATGAACGGCCGTTCACTAAAAAAAAAAAATTTAATAACGTGAAACGTGTCCAGTTTACTGGTGTGAATCACGGGACACGTAGACCGGTACAAGATTTCGGTATAAAAATGTCTATACGTATAGCATTATTGTTCAAGTATTGCCTTACTGGAGAAGATATATAACCATTGGTCCATCTTTATGGATTACAATGTTTGAAAAGCAAAATTTCCAGATAATTTTTTTTTTTTTTTTTTTTTTGATATAAGTAGGAATCCAGAATTCTTTTTCAAAATCATTTTTAAGAAAGCAGCAAACACTTCCACAGTTGTTTCAATCAATTGCCTGAAAAATTAATAGGTGTGATAAAATTTGATTGATTTCTAGTGAATATTTCTTCCATACAGATTATATATCTTAAGTATCTAAAAATCACAATTTGAACGACATTACAAAAATCAAATCACTTCTGAAATTAGAAAATATACTATAATCGATATTTGCATGAGTTTTTTTTTTCCCTTAATTGTATTGTTCTTTTATTCTTCTTACTAATGCTTCATGAATTGGATAAGTTACGGAGACAATTTTTACAATGAAAAAACTTTATTTTGGATTAAAATATTTGTATCTGAAAACTATCTTGAAGACTTGAGGATTTTTAACACTCAGCAAATGAAACTTTTTGACGTTCCAGTCCGGCCCGGCCATTTAATTTACAGCATTGGCAGCAGGAGATCGTAGATTTGGGTAGAGCAAGCAAACAAAGCGGGAGAATACTTCTTCGTATACGGACGCTCCACCAGAGTTTTGATTCGCAGCAGCAGAATTTGGCCAGTAGATTTTGCAATTGAGACACCGTTGGAACTTCAGTACCTCCGAAGTTGCTAGTTACGTCGTGCTCAAACTAGGACCATTTTTTTGTTTCTATTATTTCTTAAAGGTGTCTTTCGTAATTGAATTTCTTGATGTTCTTACGATTAGTTAACATCTCATTCTCCAGTTACTTTTGCAATTTTCCATGTGTTATAGATATGCGAGTTCAGTTGTTTATTGATTTTAGTTCTCATTTCAATCCAAGTGTTAATGAAATTTGTCACTGTAATTTGTGCTATCGTCCTATTGTCATAGTTGATTTCTTTTAGTTTTGACCACTGATGAGGTGTCTTCAGTATCTGTTTTTTGATGTTGTTAATTTTGTTATTGATATATGATAATTATTGCTGCCTTCTTAACACTTATGCTCCCATTGTTGCCGTTGTCATTGGCTTGTAGCCAATTAATTTCTGATTTTGTTGTTTGTGACTACTTCTTTTATTTGTGTTGCCGTTGTTTCTGAAATCCTGTTACTGACGGTTACTGCTATTTTTTTTCCATAAGATCGCTAATATAGCCTTGTTGGTAATGAAATTTTAATGTAATGTCTGCTGAGCAAGGAATTTCAATTAGTGAAGTGGTTTAATGACATGAAGAACCCAAGTTTCAAGTGACTGAAATATGTTCGAACCCATTATGATTTTGCAGTCACTTTTGTATTTTTAGTATCTGAAATTGTGAAGTCATTAAAATAATTGTGGTACAGTTTTGGATGCCAGATGGGGGAGCTGGCAGTTGATAAACATGTAAATACATAATATCAGTGGAAAAGGTGTGTGTTAGCTTACTCCACTCATACACTTCCACACACATCCATTAAGATATACAGTTGAGGTTGTTCACCAGAGTGTTATGGTTATATATTCATTGTTTTCTTAGAAAAATGATACTTTTGAATCTGTAGTGATGGAGCATTTGAGAATGAAAGGGGCATATTGGGGATTGACGACTCTGGATCTTTTAACTTTTAAGAAAACTTGATATTGTATATAAAGAAGAAGTTATTTCATGAATGATGAAGTGCCAACGTGAGTCTGGTTTGTAGAGAAGCCTATTTTTATACAAACATTGATCTTTTATTCTAGGCAATCGTGACAACTCTCTCAATTCATCCATAAATGCTCACATTTCTTCACACACACACACACACACACACACACACACACACACATATATATGTGTATCTGGATGAAATAATTAATGCTTATTACTTGACAGTTCAAGAAATCTAAACCATACAGCATTGACTGATACATTTTTCATATTATTATCAGTTAAGAGATCAGGGTGTTGATAAATTCAGATGATAATAACAAAGGGATGGATGATGGAAATTTTTTGTTATGTAGGTGGATTTGCTGGTAATATTGGATATGATCCACATATACTGTTTACCCTCAGTGCTGTCAGATTTTCTTGACATTGATAAGCCAGATGTTCTTGACATTGATAAGGTGTCAAATTGTATCCTTATTGTTTGGAATTGGAAATTTGTTTGTCGGATTGTCACTCTTCATTACAAAGCTACTTCACCATGCAATCTATAACTCTTTGCTTCTCAGAAAATCTTTGAAATACAAAGTTCTAGTTATAATCATGATTTTCTTTCCACATATGTAGAATTTCATTTGATTGACATGGCAATTAGTGAACCGTGATTGTTATAGTTGT